TGTGTGTGTGTGTGTTTTTTTTTTTTTTTGTGTGTTGGACCAAATCAGAAATGCATTCCTCATAAGCTTTTTTTTTTTCTTTTGTATTACAATTTATTTGGGGTATAAGTTTTTTAAAAAATTAATACAAAAGGAAAAATTAAAAAAACTTGTTGAGAAATGCGTTTCTAGTCCGGTCAACAACAAAAAAAAAATAATAAAAAATTCTAAGTCTTTTTCCTAGGGTTGAGTTAGGGCTTAAATTTTTTGGCCAGTGAAAATGCGTACCTCACAGGTAACAATATAATACTAAATATTAGAAAACTAAAAAAATTAAAATTTTATGGCAGAATCTAATATTATTTATGTTATATATAGTATATTAAAAATATACAAAAATAATACACTTTTAGTATACTAAAAATATACATTTTTTATGATCCACACAAATTTGACGGTAGACCTTGGTCGGCAAATTATGCCCTGGATCCGTGTCCACAGTGAATTGTGGACACGGGCCCAAAACGACGTCGTTTTTAAAAAAAAACGCGTCATTTAGTTAAAAAAAAATAATAAAAAAAAATCACGCGCGTTTTGGCGTTAACGGCGTTATTTTTTTTTTGGATTATGAATGTACAGTTATGCCGTTATGAATGTACAGTTATGCAATTATGAAATTATGAACACAGAGCTCTAACATTATGAACTTACAATTATGAACATATATAGTGATAAAATTATGACCATGGAGCTTTAAAATTGTGAATATAGAGCTTCGAAGATTATGAATGTACAGTTATGGAGTTATGCACTGCTGGAAATCATCAGATTTCCGACCACCCAAAAGTGGTCGGAAACAGCCTAAATTGGGTCGGAAACCGTGTTTCCGACCACTTTTCTGACCAAAATGGGGATCCGGAAAAAGGCCCGTCGCTAATTCCGACCACAATAGAGAGTGGTCGGAAACAACGAGCACATTTTTTTAATCGTCGGAAACAAACGACGGGTTTGATACTTGGACGGATCCATATTTCCGACCACCATGTGGTCGGAAATTCCACGATCGGGCGGTCGGAAATTTGGAACCAAGATTTCGTTCGTTCCAGATTTCCGACCCATGGTGGTCGGAAACTAATAAATAAATAAATAAATATATATATATATTTTGTAATTTACAATTTCTATTGCTACTTTTCCTACAAATTATACACTGCTTTACCAATTTTAAAACTAGTAATTTCATAACACAAATATTATACATTTCAATATCAAATTTAATTATACATAATGTTGCAATTCTAATGTCCACCATCATTCAAAATGTGCTAATACAATCAAAATATTTCCTAAATCACAAAAAAGTTAGAAGCTTGGATCTATTGCTGAAGATCATCTAACCCATCACAAAAAAAAAGTTAGAATCTTGGATCTATTGCTCAAGATCATCTAACCCATCACCAAAAAAAAAAAAGTTAGAATGTTGGATCTATTGCTCAAGATCATCTAATCCAACACCACTATTTTCATGGCTAACGGCGGGATTAGTAGACTGAAAAGAAGGTTGATTTGCACCACGAATTGCAGCAAATTCCGCTTCTAACCATGCCATTTTTTCCTTCATTTGCTTGTTCTCTTCTTTTAGTTCCTTGATTTGATCCTCATAAACTGCATGTGCCAATGATTGTCCGGATTTTGAATTCTTTTGCGTCACAGCCTCAAGGAAGTAGCGCGGTGTATCTGATCCAAATCCATAAACAGATCCTCTTTTCTTGAGGCCACCGACTGCCAAGAACCATGCATTTGACTCTCCAAGCTCAGGTTGAGTTTGTTGTTTTTGAATTGCAGCCTCCTATATTTAACAATTTTTACCAAACACAATCATTTTATCATCTCAAAATCTAATAAATGTTATGACAATCATGTATTAATTACAATGAAAATGATATTTTGAGTTCTGGTTTGTGAAACCAGAACTCAAATAATTTTTTGAGTTCTGGTTTCACAAACCAGCACTCAAAATGATGTTTTGAGTTCTGGTATGTGAAACCAGAACTCAAAATAATTTTTTTGAGTTCTGGTTTCACAAACCAGAACTCAAAATGATGTTTCTGCTCTAATATAATCTGCATGTTCCATCCTCTAACATGTCTAAACTAAGCATACTTTTAATTAGTTCTCAAGTCCGTATAGTTTCTGCTCTAATATAATCTGCATTCTAAATATCAGGATATGGGGTATTCTTACTACTATATTTGGATGTTGGCACAAGTATATTATGGAATATACTTTTTAAAACAAGTAAAACTGCTTTACTAGGCCTACACTTTTAATTCTAGGAAAAGTTTTAGTATCTTACATTTACATGATCAGCCTTTTTGCAAACAAACTCATTTGTCTTTTTGCGTTTGTGAGTTGCTTGGAACAACACTGCATGAGAGGGCTCTTCTCCAGACTTTTCTTTCTATCCAAGACAATAAACCAAATATTAATGTTGTTGTTTAACTATAAATTGTATTTAAATAGTAGTAAATGACTTACTATTCTTCTCCTATGCTCAGAAATGGAGATTGAACCTGCAGTGTGCAGTGATGGTCCCAATCCCCCGCAATCTGAATTTCTATTTCTTTTGTTCTTCGCAGCAGTCTTCTTAAACTCCTCTGTATTCCAAATGCTGCGGTATTGGGCCAAAACCTGATCATTCATCCAATTTGGTGGTGCATGGCCTCTTGCCAAATTGATGCGAACCTGCCCCAACGTGTCAGATAATCTTCTAGCAGCCTTTTTGTGGAATATACTCTGAATTACTGCCTCATCTTCTGGATTCCACTTATACTTTTTCTTTGATAAGATTAAAAAAAATCAAATTATAATTAGTAAATGTATAAAGTAATAGTTATAGCATCTGGAGCATAAAGTAGGTATAAAGTAATTAGTAAAGGTATAAATTATCAAATGTATATATTAGTAGTTCCCTATGGTAATTATAAAGTAATTTACTAATAGCAGTTATAAAATAAGTTACCCTGAATTCATTAAACCATACGTCCTTCATATGTGTAGGAGCATCATTGTATGATTTTATAGGGACTGTCGACTGCCATTGTTGTGCTACTGCCGGTGCTGGAGGTGTGAAGGAGGAAGTAGGTGGTGAAGGAGGAAGTGGGCCGTGTGAAGGAGGAAGTACGCATGAAGTGGGAGAGAGAAGATGGAGAAGTGAAGTGGTGGAGGGAGAGGGAAATCTAAGTAGTGGAGAGAGAGATCAGACTTAATGAAATTTTCCAAAATTTTAGATTTCCGCCATTTTTATTTTTTTTTTGGGCTAATTCTTTTTTTTTTTTTTACAATTACTTAAATTTTTCTTAAACACTAATTAAAATTAAAGTAAACATTAAAATAATTTAAATTTCAACTCTAAATTAAAAATCACCCTCATCATTCTCTGATTCCTCATTATCATCTTCATCACCAATATCTCCACTATCATCTTCATCAGAATCATCACTGTCATCTTCTTCAATTTCTTCAGTATCTTCTTCTTCTGAATCTTCAATTTGGACACCGTGGTTGGACCATTGATTTCCGATGTGAGGTAATTCCACTTCATTCATTTGTAATGGTTCGTGCACTAACTCTTGCACGTCATCTTGAATACTTTGATCACCCCCATATGTAGGCAACGATATGTTATCTTGTTGATATGTGTAACTAGAGCTATAGGCACAATCAATAGTTCCTCTTGGGCGTACATTCAAGACTACCCACCAATTTATTTTCTCCCGTATACCCCGTGGGTATGGAATATAACACACCTGACATGCGCTTTGTGCAATGATAAAAGGATCATATTTCCTATATCGTTTATTGCAATGCACCTCAGCGATACCATATTCGGAATTGAATATTGATCCAATATTGGGTGTTGGGTCAAACCACTAACACTTGAAGAGAACAACCTTTTTTATTGGAACATTGGGGTACTCAACCTCAACAACCTCTTGCAATTTGCCAAAAAAATTTGATTCAAATTGTGTTAAACCTGTTCCCTTGATTGACACTCCGTAGTTAGCAGTCGACTTTCTACAGCAATATTCTTCAGTCTGAAACTTAAAACCATTAACGACATACCCAGTGTATGTGTTAACCTCCATTATCGGCCCAGATGCCAAATCAATGAGTGATTGGTTACACACATTGTTCGTTGGACAATATACCTAATAATAAATACAAAGAAAATGTCACATAACAAAAAAATATAGATAATAATGAATCAAAAATGACAAAGTGAATTAACTTCTTACATATTCTTTAAACCAATGTGCAAAATTTCTTTCAACTTCATTGTCTACATCTTCATCAGTACAACCAGGATTGTAACGTCGTAAACCATTTTCATACATCCTACAATACTGATATTAGATATATATATATATATATATATATACACACACACACATTTGAAATCAAAATGGGAAAAAGTGGAGTACACATACCTTAAAATCGGTTGAACCTCCTCACAATTCAGTAACACATATTGATGAGCGGTGAAACGTTCTTCTACACTCAAATATCTTGTCTTTCTCCTGCCCATCGACCGACCAGGTCGATTGAATATTGACAAAGTAACTGGCAAGTTCTGATCAATGCCGCCATCATTTAGGTTCCGACCTATCCTTGTTCTTCTACTTTGCACATCATCTTCAAAATAAAATGATGCAAAGTGTGTTGCCTCTTCAAGCATATATGCATCGGCAATTGAACCTTCAACATATCTCTTATTTTTCATTTTGGACTTCAAGTGATTGAGGAAGCGTTCAAATGGATACATCCAACGATATTGTACTGGGCCACCTAAACGTGCTTCATAGGGAAGATGGACAGGCAAGTGTTCCATGCAATCAAACAGTGCTGGAGGGAAAAATCGTTCTAACTTACACAATGTTAAAACAATTGAGTTTTCCATTTCCTGTATTTTGTCTACACGTAGGGATGTAGAGCAAAGATTTCTGAAAAACGCACTTAACTCAGTCAAAGGCTTCCAGTGACAGCTTGGTAAAAACATGAAGGCTACAGGCATAAGAAACTGCATAAAAATATGACAATCATGACTTTTCATCCCTATTAATTTAGAAGATGTGGAATCAACACATGTAGCCAAATTAGAAGAAAACCCATCAGGTAACTTCAAAGTTCGTAACCACTCATAGACAGCTAATTGATTAGTACGATTCAAACTGTAGCTTGCCTTGGGCATAAGATAACGTCCATTCTTTTCCACCAACTCAAGTTCGGGCCTATTACACACGTCCTTCATATCGAGACGTGCATTAGGCGTGTCTTTATTTTTAGCTGTGCCTTTGACATCCATAACTGTGTGGAAAATGTTATCAAACACATTTTTCTCTATATGCATCACATCAAGATTGTGACGTAACAAATTATCCTTCCAATAAGGCAAATCCCAAAATATGCTTTTTTTTTTCCAGTTGTGTGCTTGTCCAAACCCCTCAATGCGACCAATTGGACCATCAATAATCCTTGGGATATTTTCCAAACTATGAAACAACTCATCTCCTGTCCAAATTGGTTGAGGTCTTGATTTCTCAGCTCGTTGTTTGACAAAGGTATCTCGATTCTTCCTCCAGGAGTGATTCATTGGAAGGAATTGACGATGACAATCAAACCAACATGTTTTATGACCATTCTTCAGATAAAATGATTTAGAATAATGAAGACAATAAGGACATGCTAGTTTTCCGGCTGTCTGCCATCCAGATAACATACCGTATGCAGGAAAGTCATTGATGGTCCACATTAACGCAGCGCGCATCATAAAATTTTGTTTAAGTGATGCATCATAAGTTAAGACACCTGTTTCCCATAACAATTGAAGTTCATCAATTAAAGGCTGAAGATAGACATCAATATTGGCCTTTGGATTCTTCGGTCCAGGAATAATACAGGTTAAGAATGTGTATGGTGTAGTCATACACATTGAAGGTGGGAGATTATACGGAACAACCATAACAGGCCAACAAGAGTACGGCTTTGCATTGAAACCAAAAGGAGTAAATCCATCAGAACATAAGCCCAGTCTTACATTTCGGGGATCTACTGAGAAATCAGGGAACCTTCTATCAAAGTGCTTCCATGCTTCACCATCAGAGGGATGACACATAATACCAGGTTCGCGACGATTTTCATAATGCCATCGCATGTGTGAAGCAGAGCTATGTGATGCATACAAACGTTGCAATCGAGGAATGAGAGGAAGGTAATGCATTCTTTTGCGAGGCACCTCTTTTGCACGAGTAGATCCAGATGGGCAAGGTTTAAATCTTGTCTCACCACAAAACTTACAGTGCTTGTCATTTATTTCAGACTTATAGTACAACATACAATTGTTTACACAACAATCAATCTTCTCATGTCCAAGACCAAGCTTTGTAAGTAACTTTTTTGCATCATAATACCTGGTAGGTACTCGATTATCGGGACCCATCAAATGATTAATATACTGAAATATCTGATCCATTGCTAGCTGTGGTATATTAAAAGTTGTCTTGATATTCATCATCCTCAATGTATATGCCAGCTCTGTTTCTTCATTAACATTCATTGATAAAGGTTGTCTCGCAGCATCTAACAATTCGTAGAAGTTTTTTGCACTACTATGTGGTTCTTCATCTTGGTCATTTTCGACATTTAATGGAAAAAATGATGGACCAGATGCATCAAAAACCATTTGTTCATATTGGTTATTTTCACTAGGGCCCTCATTCATGTGTGGTTGTATTGAAGGTGGAAGCTCACCGTGACATGTCCAAATCCAATAACTTGGTTCAAAACCCTTCCTATATAAATGAACATGAACATCATCTGCAGACAAGTGTACTCTATTCTTACACTTACTACATGGGCACCTAATCTTCATTGAAGCCTTGTATACAGGAAGTGTGCTTGCGTAATTTACAAATTCCTCAACACCCAATAAGAACTCATCTGTGTACCCCCTTTTTCCGGGTAACAATCGATTATACATCCATTTCCGATGTTCAGGTATATTAGCCATGTAAAACAACTGTAAAAACATATATACAGTGCAAACACAAATATAAAAGTATTAAAAATAATACTAATATTTTAAATAATCATATACACTCATACTAATAATTAGACACATATAAAATGTCATTTGTAAAAAGTACAAATATATAAATAATTATAAACATACTCACATATACATATATGCACACTATACATTCTTCAATCATATTAAAATAAATAATCTAAATAAGTATTCACAAAAATATATTTAAAAAATCAAACTAGATCTAAGGAAAAAAAAAATCATACTAGTTAATAGACACACATATAAAATGTAATTTTAAAAATGTACAAATATACAAATAATTATAAACATATTCACATAAATACACATATACATATATGCACACTATACATTCTTCAATCATATTAAAATAAATAATTTAAATAAGTATCCACAAAAATATATTTAAAAAATTAAACTAGATCTAAAAAAATTCACACTAGTAAATAGACACACACATATAAAATGTAATTTTTAAAAAGTAAAAATACACAAATAATTATAAACATATTCACATACACACATATACATTCTTCAATCATATTAAAATAAATAATCTAAATAAGTATTCACAAAAATATATTAAAAAAATTGAACTAGATCTAAAAAAAAGTCTTAATAAATAGTAGATTTAAGAATGTAAACACATACCTTAACTTGATATGATGTAGTACAACTTGCTTTTAGCACTATTATGCATGAATTATTGAAAGAAAACCTGCAAAGAAGAAAAAAAAGCAGTAGAAGGGGGTAAAAAACAGAGAAAATAGGTCTGGAAATACGCAGTGGAAGCATTTAGGTATTTCCGACCACCATTAATTGTCGTCGGAAAAAATATATTTAAAATTCAAACCGCCGACAGTTTCCGACCACTGTTACCATGTGATCGGAAGTTCCGACCACCTACTAATAATGGTCGGAAATTGCGACCCCGTTCCGACCCCCTTACCCATTCGCCGGAAAATTGCAAAAAAGATGATTTTTCCGACCACTTTTTGTGGTGGTCGGAAAAGTGGTCGGAAATACGATGATTTCCAGCAGTGATGAATCTACAGTTATGGAGTTATGAATCTACAGTTATGAGATTATGAATCTACAGTTATGGAATTATGAATGTACAGTTATTGATCGAATTATGAACAAAAAGCTCTAACATTATGAACTTACAATTATGAACATATAGTGATAAAATTATGAACATAGAGCTCTAAAATTGTGAACATAGAGCTTCGAAAATTATGAATGTACAATTATAGAGTTATGAATGTACAGTTATGGAGTTATGAATGTACAGTTATGGAGTTATGAATGTACAGTTATAGAGTTATGAACGTACAGTTATAGAGTTATGAATGTACAGTTATGGAGTTATGAATGTACAGTTATAGAGTTATGAACGTACAGTTATGGAGTTATGAATGTAAAGTTATTAATAATATAGTAATAAAATTATGAACATAAACTCCTATAACGAAGCGGTCTGAAATTTAAAAAAAAAAAAAAAAAAAAGGAGATAACAGTGCCTAACGGCACTGTTACCCGTGTCCAGCAAGCATGCTGGACACGGGTCCAACGCATAACGATTGACCTTGGTCTATGGTATAACAATTGGATTAAAGTATGGCAGGCCGGATCAACATTTTAAAAACAATCAATACCCAAAATGGTACACGACTATCAGACTATGATGATTTTTCTCGATTTCATCTTAAACGACTTTTGTGACCTAATTTAGTACCAAACTTGTGTGTTTTTGCTCTATATAGTCCTCCGCTTATTATTTCGTCCAATTGGTGTTAACTAGATGGACAATTTAGTAATTCCAATATTTGACCATCTTTTACCCTCTTTCATTTACGACCTACTACGAAGCAGATACCTAAAGATAAATTTCTCTTCCTGCAAATCCTTCACAAATGTTGCATTTCGCTTCTTCTGCCACACCTCTCGCGTTGGTGGCGTCATTGGTAAGTCCAGATGCATCATCAAGTAGCTTCAGCAGGATACTACCGCCAAGATTCGAGTCGACGACTCTGGCAACAACTCGGATGAGCACCGTGTCATTGTCGTCATAGATTCGGCCTTGGTCAATAGGAAGATTGAATTTTGCACCAAAAGGAACGAAGAAGGAGAAGAACAAGAAGAAGAAATTAAAGACCGCTTAGCAGTGAGGAATTTGAAGTCTCGACGGCGCATGAAGCCGTGGTTAGGTGTTTTGAGAGAGTGATTGAAGTGACCGCGGAGAGCATCGGGATGGTATTGGGCACCAGAAGTTTAGTTTCATGTAGACTCCTTGCTAAGGTTAATCAGGTATGGTCGGTGATCAACAAAGGTGGGATGGGTGTTGATTTGATAAGGAAGGAAACTGGTTGTAGAATTAAGGTCATAACATCGGAAAATATGTCGACTTGCACGTCCCTGGGGGACAAAGTTGTGGAGGTAGTAATTGGTTAAGGATTTGTAGGAAGAGAAATTTCACACAGAGAACATCCTCAATAGTATAGTTTAGGTGCCAAGTAGAAAAGAATGAGAAAGAAAATAATAATAAAAAAATTGTTAGAAAAAGTAAAAAATGATGGTTAACGCGCTCGGAGCGTGGAGTACATGCACACGGCTGGGCGTTTTTGTTGCGCCTCACACGCACCAATAGTTGTTTTTTATTAATTATTTGGGTGGGGTCTACAGTGGAAGCAAAAAACCAGATTCTCTTACAAACATCTCAAACATTCTCTCTCTTCCTTCTCTTTCTTCCACCTCACATTTGACCACACAAAAAACCAACAAAAAACCTTGTATTGAGGATGCTATGAAGATTTAGGTAGCTGCTTCACAAGTCGTAAATGAAAGAGGGTAAACGAGGGTCAAATATTGTAAATACTAAATTGTCCCTCTATATTAACACCAATTGGACGGAATAATAAACGGAGGACTACATTGAGTAAAAAACAAACAAGCATGTGACTAAATTAAGTCACAAAAATCATTTAGGAGAAAATCGAGAAAAACCACCACAGTCAAGAACCATTTTGAGTATTAACTCATTTTAAAAACGTAGGCTAAGACGACAAATTATGTTGTGGACCCGGGTCCACCTTCTAAAACGGCGTCGTTTTGCTTCAAAACAACACCATCTGAATTTAAAAAAAATTGCTTCCTTCCTTGTCGTTAACTTGCCGTTTATCTTCAGAATTCGTTCATCTATATTCACAATTTCTGAACTCTATATTCACAATTTTTGAACTCTATATTCACAATTTTAGAACTCTATATTCACATATTTAGAACTGTATATTCACAATTTTAGATCTCAATATACAAAATTATAGAACTCAATATTCATAATTGTAGAACTCTATATTCACAATTTTAGAACTCTATATTCATAATTTTAGAACCAAATATTCACAATTGCAGTTCTCAATATACAAAATTACAGAACTCAATATTCACAATTGCAGAACTCTATATTCACAATTATATCAATAGTATAACACAATTTTTGAACTTTATATTCACAAAAAAATAATATCATTGGCTGAGGAAACGGCGCCACTAACGACACCGTTATTCCATACGCACAAAGCTGCGTCGTTTTGAACTTTGATCCACCTTGCAAGGTGGACCCAGTCCATAGCATAATAATTGGGCTAAGATAACAACCCACATTTTAAAACTCCGTATTAACGAACACGGCAAATTATTGTATGGACCATGGTCCACACAACTTGAGTGGACCATGAGTACATTTTTAATATACTAAAGATACATTATTTGCGTACTGAAGGTACATTATTTGATAGTATATATAAAATAATGTACTTTTAGTAGTAAAATAATATATCCTCAAATAATGTACTTTTAATATATTAAAAATGTATTTTTTATTTATGGTCTATGCAATAATGGTTGAACTAACACAGCACAAGCCACATTCAAAGAATATGGGTTGATACGGCCCGAATCAGCCTACTTGATAGTTGATATCACTAACCTAGTATTCATAACACGGCAAATTATGCCCTGGAAACGTGTTCACCGTGAATGGTGAACACAAGGCCAAACGACGTCGTTTTTAGGCAAAAAAAAATAAAAATTCGTGGATGTGGAGTTAACGGCGCGTTTTGATCAAATTATGAATTTTCTGTTATGAGATTATCTCATAACAGAAAATTCATAATCGCATAACAAAAAATTCATAATCGCATAACAGAAAATTCATAATCTCATAACAGAAAATTCATAATCTCATAACTGAAAATTCATAATCTTATAACAAAAAATTCATAATCTCATGGTTCCAAAGTGAATGTGTAGGCATGGTTCCAAAGTGAAAGTGCAGGCATGGATTCATAATTTATGAATGTCCGTGATTTCGGACGGGAATGTGTAGGCATGGTTCCAAAGTGAATGTGCAGGCATAAATTTATAATTTATGAATGTCCAAAATCATTGTTCACCTCAAATTAAAGTGAAACCGCAAAATGTGAAAATGAAGAAGAAAAGTCATGCAATTAATTAAGAAAAAAGAAAAAAGTGTACTAACACCGTTGGAACCGTGTTCACCATGAATGGTGAACACGGTTCCATGGCATAACGCTCCTCATAACACTCCCTTTCTCTTAAGCGCCACATTCTTAGTTTGATCTGAAACACATCGCATTATTCATCCCACTCCACAGAGTATTCTGATCTGAAATACATCATATCGTCACCGCTTTCAGTTCATGGGGATATGTGGTATAAGAAAAATAATATTGGTATGTTTTCTTTACTTGATTGCGGCTGTGTTTAGATCATTTATCGGTTGATTGTAGGTCTTGTTTGCCCTTGTTGTCTAACTCTATCACAAATTTCAGTAGTTGGTAAACTACACATGAATATTATCCAAGCTTTAAGTGTGTTGTATAACATTAAACTTCAGTATTTATATTAGGTAATTTATGCATTGATCATAGCTCTTGTTTGCCAGTGTTCTCTACCACTATTGCAAATTTTAGTTGTTGGTAAAATTGCATTACTAGGGGATGGAAGCCGTGCAGGATATTAGTGGAATTTTCTTGTTTTCGGGCTACCTAATTAAAAGTGGTTAGGATTTAATGGTCATCCTGACCAAGTATCACTTTGAGGTTTTGGAAAAATCATAATCGTTATTTGGTGGTGTAGCATTACAAGTGGTTTCATACTTTCATGGGTTCCCTTCCACCCTTGGTTAGAAATTGGTTTAAAATTTTGATATAGGATGTTGTTCATAAATGGAAAATTATTTTTTAGTTATGATCGCCATTGTGTCAATCATAGTTGGTTTCTCACCATAAAGCAATTGCTCATAATGGCTGGTTTCTTGCAAAATTATTACTGGCTCCTCCACCCAAAAAAGAAAACATTTTTCTTCCTTTGATTGTTGGTTGCCGCACCATTTCCAGCTTACTCCAAGGACGGTTAGATGAGAATTTATTTGGCATCAACTATAGTATTCTTGAATGACTTATTTCCTTTTATGACCATTTTCCTTTGTGATGCATGTCCTCGAGACTAAAATAGAAATACAAAAATATAGGGATAGGGAAAAGAAATTCATCAGGTAGTTTGGGAAGAACATCCTGTTTCAAACGGTGTTGTTTTAGTGCCCTTTAATTTCCATCAAGCTGCAACTTTCTTACTTAGAACTTTGGCCCGGCTTCTTCACTACTTTAATTAATCTCTCCCGGTTCATTACACCCTTGAGGCTAACAAATTTATTTGTGTTTTGCATTTAGATCCTGAGCTTTTATAAGGCGATGCAGTTGAACAATTTGTTCCTTTTTAGATGATTTTCTTAAAGAGAACTTCAAAACAACAAAAAAGGCCGGTAACCAGACCACATATTTTTGCTCAAAGCAATCAAACAAATTAGGATCCTTTTGAAGATCATCTCACTATTGAACAAGCACAAACAATAGAATATTTTAATTTGTAAAATATATACAATTAATAAATTTTTAATTTAAATGTATTACCAATTTGTGATAATGCTCAATAGCTGATCTAGTGATCTAGATCCTCTGGTATGTCGAGAACATCCCGTACCAAGGCCTGCCACCTCACTCATCCTCATCATATTCTTGCGTTGTTGTTCAGATTTAGCTTTCATGTTAGGCTTATCCCAATATGTCTCCCAAATGTACCATCTTCAGGGAGACGATATGCCTGATATGAAAGCTAAATTTGAACAACAATGCAAAAATAAGATGAGTGAGGTGTTGGGACTTGGCACACGGAATGTTCTCAGAGGATCTAGATCAACTATTGAGTACTATCACAAATTGGTAATATATTTAACTTAAAAATTTATTATTTCTATATATTTTACAAATCAAAATATTCTATTGTTTGTGCTATTTCAATAGCCAGATGAACTTCAAAAAGAACCTAATCTGTTTGAGCAAAAATATATAATGTGGTTACCTTTTTTGATGTTTTGAAATTCTCTAGCTATAGTTGACCTGCTACTTCATCATATCAAGATGCAATGAAGGAGATGCTGATACAACAGTTAGAGACCATGCGAGCTCAGATGCAGGCTCAACTACAAGTTCAGATGCAGGCTCAACTAGAAGTTAAAAGAACTCAAATGCAAGCTCAAATTACAAATTTGATGGATGAGTTGCGTCGCAACGGTATGCTATCCACTTCTATGCCACGACCTCCAACAACTTAAGTTGAACATTCTGCTAATTCAAATGCTGAAAACTTAAGAAATGATTAGATTATGTTTATTAATATATTTGGTATTGTTTATAACGATGTGACACTACACAATTATGAGGATGTGTGGTATAGGAAAAATAATATTTGTATGTTTTCTTTACTTGATTGCGGCTGAGTTTAGATCATTTATGGGTGCAATTTGTAGGTCTTGTTTGCCCTTGTTGTCTAAGTCTATCACAAATTTCAGTAGTTGGTAAACTACACACGAATATTATCCA